TGTTCATACACAACGGGGGCTGCAGTGTTGGCAACGTCTGGGAGGGATGCACAGGGTGATCTAAAGGGTGATCTAAAGACAAGAAGGCCTGAGTTTGGGGAGTTTATTTTAGTGCAGCAGGAAGAAGGTGGTCCCTTGGCTGAGATGTCACCCCCAGAAGAGGAGGGAGGCATGGGAGGGGTGGAAGGAAAAGCCACATCCTCCCTCCATAAGGGGACCCTGGTGGAGGCTGGCAGCAACGGAGGGAGGCAGATGTGTGAGACGAGATGAGACGTGGGTGCTGGAGAAGGTGCCACTGGCCCAGCCTGAGAGACAACCTTGAGAGAGAGGAGGGGCAAAACGGAGCCGGTGTGTAGCTGGGGGGAGGGGCGGGGCGGGCGGAGGAAGGAGAGGATGAGAGAGCTCCAGACAGTGGAGGGGGCGGGGCACAGCCCTGTCCACCACCCGCCGGTCTGTCTGCCTCCCTCCTTCTGGCCAGAAGCAGCAAGGACGCAGACACGCAGACACGCAGACACGGGCATGTGGGTGCTGGGCCGTCCAAGCGCCTGCGGGGTGGGGGCAGAGATGGGGGACAGTGTGTCCTTGAGCCCTAGGGCTTTCCTGCACTCGGATCCTCAGAAGCCACAGCCACCTCATTACCTCACGCGCTGCATTAGGATTTGGGCCCCACTGCCTTGAGGCAGGCTCAGGACTCAGGCTCTATGAACAGCTCCCATGTTTTCCACCTGGGCGATGCTCTCCCGGCTCCTTGCTTTTGGGGGCTGCAGAGCGAGGGCACCAAGCCTTTGCCCCTGCAGGGGGGTGGGGATGATGAGATTTCGCATTTCTCCTACAGGAATTCCCAAGAAATGCTGTCTGTCCCTCCCACCCTCAGTCTTGTTTTTCTTTTTCCTTTCCTTTTTAAAGTTTTATTTATCTAAGTAATCTCTGCACCGCATTGGGGCGCTGGAACTCACGACCCCGAGATTAAGAGTCACATGCTCTTTGGTCTGAGCCAGCCAGGCGCCCCTAGTCTTGCTTTGCTATATGTTAAGTCATCTTCCTCTGAAACAAATCACTTAGCCTCCCATATTCTATCTGGAAAGCAGGGGTAAGAATGCCTCCCTCCCAGAGTTGGTGGGGCTGTAAATTAGATCCCATATAGGAAAGAGCTCTGCAGAGTGCAAATTCACAGCGGAAGCATCAGAGATTGTCATTCTCGGAGGGGACTAAAGGAAAAAGCAGAAGGAAGAAAGTCCAGGCAAGGTCAGGGGACGAAGCCCTTCCTGGCGCCCTCTAGTCCCCACCAGTCCTCTCTGGCCCCAGCCTTGCTGTGGATCTGAGGGTGGGCAAGTGAAGGGGCCGTCACTGCAAATTCCCAAAGTCCAGAGACTTCTGGTGGGGGGGGGGCTTCTTCCTCCAGCACTGGGGGGGCCTCGCCAAGGTCAAGCACAGGTGCTGATGGCCACTAATGACCCGGAGGAGTGGGATTTGGAAAGACCTGCTCTTGGAAGACGTGGATTTGAAGCCAACCTCAGACTGCTCCCGGACATCAGCGGTCCGGCAGTCGATGTGCCTGTGCCTCACTCTGGATAAAGAGATGCTCTCAGCTTCCCTGCCAGGAGCCTGACCCTAACTCCCTGGGGTCCCAGAGAAGTCAGAGCCCCAGCTCCTTCCTGTTAAGATGGAACAGCTGCTGGGAGCCAGCTTGGATTTCTCACCCTCCCAATCCTCTCTCCATATTCCAGAGGGGCCTGGGGACAGATGCACCGTCTAGAATTTCTTCAGGAGGGTGGCCAAAGAGGGCATTCTTTCTATTCCTTGGGCTTCCCTCGCCCAAAACAGGAGATTAGCTGGGAGACTGCTGCACAGGCAGCGGGTCCCTGGGGCGATCCTTCCTGCCCAGTGTAATAACACGGCCTCAGGAAAGAAACCATGGGGGTCACCTCCTCTGACCTTGAGAGAGGTTCCTACGCTGAAGTGAGGCATAAAGAGCTGGACTTGGGACCCTATGTCAGGAGGGAGGCGGTTCTGAACCCTGATTCTGCCACGCACTGCTCTGTTCTTTCAGGCCACTGCCCTTGCATAAGTCTGTTGCCTCCTCCCCAGTGTGGAGAGAAACATCCCTACTTTCTAGGGTTGTTGTTGGGGTTAAATGAGTTGATGTGCATAATAGCTTCTATTCCAGTATCTGGCCAGTTCCGGAGTCCAGAGAGCCATAGAGCGGGTCGGGGAGGTGGGGGGGTGGTGCAGATGATTTTCTGGACTCAGCACAGATTAACCTTGGAGCACATGGGGTATGATGTGGCTTCTAGCATGGAGGAGCCCTAGTTCTAGATGATTCTCTTTGGTTCTTTTCCCACAGTTTCTTGCAGTTGGGGATCCTGAAGCTTTCAGCTGTCGGATGCCTAGGCCTTGTTGTAACCAAACCGAGCTGGACACGGAAGAGGATATGACCGGCGGATGAGAGAGAGAGTAATCCTCCTGTAACGAGCTCCTCAGAAGACGGAAGAGGAAGAGTCAGAGCTTCACTGTTCTGAAATTCCACTGCTGTCTACTGTTTTGAAAGGCAGGGAGTGACTGGCTCACTGTTTTCTCAGCCCCAGTTGTGCGGGAATCCTGAGATCTCTAGGAGAGCGGGGGCAGATGGCATAGAAACCATGAGGGCACCTCTCACCTTTAAGACTTCCCACTCCAGGGGGCGCCTGGGTGGCTCAGTCGGTAACACGTCCAACTTTGGCTCAGGTCATGATCTCACGGTTCACGAGTTCAGGCCCCGTGTTAGGGTCTGGGCTGACAGCTCCGAGCCTGGAGCCTGCTTCAGATTCTGTGTCTCCCACTCTCTCTGCCCCTGCCCCTGCTCATGTTCTCTCTCCCTCTCTTTCTCTCTCTCAAAAATAAAATAAAAAATAAACATTAGAAAAAAAAAGACTTCCTACTCTATTTGCGGCCTGTGTATTGAGTCTTGGTTCGGGCCTCCGATAGCTACGTGAGCTCCAGTAAGCACTTTATCTTCTGCAGTTCTTGATTTCTCCATCTGAAGAATGTGACTAATAATCCCTGGCTTGTCTGCCTACGGACTGTCCTGAGGACCCAGAGAATTTGGACAGGTGCTAAACATGCCGGAGAGGGCAGATGAGTGTGTTCCCTCCCATGTGGGCTGCAAGATACATACCTGCCCAGCCGGACTTGGGGGCCAGCCCCACACTGCCACCTCGAGTGATTGCCATGGCAATGGAGTACCTGGCTAACTCTTACTTCTTCCTTTGGTTTCAGCTTAGCTGTTGTTTCTTAGAGGTCTGCTGGCCTCTTAGACTAGGTCTCCCTCCTGTAAGCACTCATAGCATTCTGTAGACTCCTCTTACCGTGTGTATCATGAGCTGTGTAGTGTGGTTGTGTGACTGCTTACCACGTGTTTTCTGAGCCAGACTCTAAGCTCCAGGAGGAAAAGGAGTACGTCTGTTACACGTCATCTGATCCCCAGTATGTAATGCAGTGCCTGGCACGTGGCAGGGAGGTGCTCAATAAAACCCGTGCTGGCTGAAGAAATGAATTGCCTGCCTCGACCCTCTTTTATGTTTCTATCAACACCTGCTGCCAAGTGCCCATCTATTACTTCTTTCTTGCCCAGCATCTCCTTATAAGGAGAAGGACGACATCTCTCCTGTCTTTATAATTCAAGAAACGAGTCAGCTAGATCATAGTTGGCCTTCTTCCCATCTCCCATCACAGCAGGCCTCACCCAGAATCCAAGGCTGCAGGTAATTGCTAGATTTAGTTATCCTTGCGCAAGGCTGCCCTCTGGTGGCTAAACGTGGGAGAGAGCCCGGGAAGGATGGAAACCTGTGGGCTGGAGTCTCGCTCAGAGGTTGTCCAGTGAGCCAGGACCAGGTAAGCGTGACAAGGAGGGCACCCAGGTGAAGGTTCTTGTCAGTCTCCATCCTTAGGAATGCCTCCCTCCAAATCTAACAGGAAGCCCTTGGCCTAGGAAGAGCAAGAAAATAAAGCCTCATAGAAACCCCACCCTACCCTAGTGGGTGAAATAGCTATTCTTTCTCCTCAATGGTGAGCTGGCAAATGCTTAACAACCAGCTCTCTCTCTCTCTCTGTCTCAAAATCCCAGTACGTAGCATTTACTGTTTCCATGGTAGAAATACTCTCGCCATGGCCGATTTCAAACTACGAATGTGATGTCACCGAAAGTGTTGCTGGGAAAAATGAGCACTAAGGGGTCTGTCACTATATGTATGTCATGGACATGAGTAAGTTCAAAAACTTGTTGGTTACAAGTAATGAGTTTGAGCACTTATTACATTTACTTTCAACATAATATATTTAAATGCAAGCTTATAGTTTAATCCGTAATAAAAGCCGTGTTTAATGACTGGCTTACAAAAGTCTGGGAAGTGTAATAATTGGTTCTGCGAGCCTAGTAGTAAGAGCTGGCCCCAGCATGCCACCGCTTCTCCCACTTCCCCCTTCTTTCTCTCCTCCTCCTCCTCCTCTTCCTCATACAGGACTTCCCGGCATTCTGTGTGGGTAGGACGGATGGCGAATATGGGAATGAGCTTTGCTCCAGACGCTGCTATTCTCTGAGTCAGGAGCCACGAGGTGTTAAGGAAAGAGAACGAGAAATGCAAATCTGGCTACTGAAGGACATTTTCGCGTGTGTGTATGTGTGCGTGTCTGTGTGCCCGTATGTGTGTATATCTATGTACGTGCATCTGTGTGTATGTGTACGTCTATGTTTCTGTGTGCACATCTATACGTCTGTGTATATGTATGTATGTGTGTATCCGTGTGTATGTCTGTGTGTATCTGTTGTAGGCGTGTCTCTGCGTGTGTGTGTGTGTATGTGCGTCTGTGTATCTGTATATGTGTGTATGTGTGCGTGTGCATGCGTGCGCATGTGCAGCCGGTGGGGAAGGGGGTGAGGGTGAGTTTTGCAACTGGATCAGGAGGTCGATTCCAGCCTGAATGAAAGACCACCGCACCCTTCCCGCGGCCTGGGGAGCGGGGCGCTAGCAGCAGCGGCCGGTGGGGAGCCGAGGCAGGCAGAAGTAGGCACTAGGGAAGAGGCCCAGGTTGATGGGATTGCCGTCTAGCCGGATGTCTTCCAGCTGCCTCCGGCTGTGTTTGTGCTCCTCCGTGTCACAGAAGGCGTCTCTCTGCATGGTTTCTATCCTGTTATTCTGGAAAGAACACACTGACAGCTGGCAAGCCTTCCCCTGGAGTCTGCCCTCAGGCAGCACCGAAGGCGAGGATCGGTCTACTCTCCCCACCAGCTCCACTCTTGGGAGCGGAGAAACCGAGGCACATAAGGCCAAGGGCAAGCAACAGGAGGTGAGGAGAGAAGGCCCATGGAGGGTGGATATGGAGAGCGAGGAGGGAGATTAGGAGGGACATTAAGAGGGACGACAGAGGAGCGAACAAGCAGGGGAGGTGGGATGAGGGATGAGGAGGGCCAGGAAGCATCCTCGGAAGGAAAGGAAGGCAGCCACACTGACGCTGTGGGCCATGGCCTGACCTCCGCGCCAAGTCTCCAGTAAGCTCTCAGGGAAGGAGACCCTGCTGCAGTCTAAGGATGCTCCCGCTTACCTGCCCCCCCCTCCCCCCGCCTCCTCCCAGGCTCTGTTCAATGCTCTTGGCCCTGGGGAGGCTGCCTACCTGCAGGTGCAGTGAGCGCAGGCTCGGGGGCAGGGGCCCGGGGATGGAGTCCAGCAGGTTGTCAGCCAGGTAGAGAAACTGCAACTTCTCTAGCGCCTGAGGAGGAGGCACAGGGCATGGGAGGCTGGCAGGTGCCGTGGGACCTGGCAGTGACGGGTGTCCAACGGGACCCCGTTGTTCACTGAGGGTCTCCTGAGCCCCAGCCACGTGCCAGGCTCGTGCCAGGCTGCAGGGGGTGCCCAGTCTCTCGGGAGCTCCCAGGCACTAACTCCCACTGGGTGCAGAAAAAAAGCTGTTGCCACTGAGGTCTGACAGCTGGGGGAGTTGACAGAGCTGGTCTTGAGGAGTAGCGAGGGGGGCGCGGGGGGCACGGATGGGGTGGAAGGGAGGACCAGGGGCCATTCCGGCTCAGCCTCAACTTTTCTGCCGTCAGAAGGGATTCTTCCCAAGTGGGACATCTCCAAGTCTGATCCTGGAGGGGCTGGGAAGAGTATGTTCGGGAAACATCTGGAGCGGCAGAGGGAGAGCCGCAGGCACACGTGAGGCAGACTGAGCATGTGAGTGCGGCAGAGCTGGGCGTGAGCCCCCCCTCATGTCCTTCCTTCCCTGGAGCCGCTCCTGCAGCCCTCAGAGCCCTGCTGAGGGGGCAGCCGCAGGGGCCACGTCTGTGCCTCGGGTTTAGCCCTTCCCATCACAACTGGCCAGCCAGGGATCAATCGGACGGTCTCTCGTAAGCACTTGGTCACAGAAAGACAGTCAGTGGTGGGCTTCGGAAAGAAAATTTTATGTGGGGTTGGGGTTGGAGCCAGCACGCCTGCAAGTCATGGCACAGCCTGGGTTTTAGGGGAGCAGATGCTGACTGCACCCAGAGGTGAATGGAACAGGTGCTTAGAAAGAAGCCAAGAGGCCACGACATGCTAGCAGAGGCAGGGGGAGAGTTGCTGACCTTGGTTACTGGTACCCCCCCCCCCCCCCCATTTCCAGTAATAAGCCCATGAGGCCCGAATTTCCTTTTCCTGGAAGTTCTTGGGATGGCAGTTGTAAAACACCCTTTACTGGAGTCAGAATCAGTTTTTTGAAACCAAAAAAGAAAGAAAAGTTTAATAAATGGGAACAGATGAAGAAAATAGGGTTTGATTCTCACACTGAGAACAGTATGGGAGCAGGGTGTGTGTGTGTGTGTGTGTGTGTGTGTGTGTGTGTGTGTGTGGCTGTGGGCATGGGTAGCAAGTGGCAAATGGCAGACTTTAGGCCCTGGCTCACCCTGAAGGCTGCAGGCTGTATGCCCGAGCTCTGGAGCCGATTCAGGCGGACGTCCAGGACCTCAATGCCAGTAGGCAGCACAGGCAGAGCCGTCAGCTGGTTCTCCGGGAGGATCAGGTCCTGAAGGGCAGGCAGCGGGAGGAGGGCATCATCATCAATGGAGGAGATGGAATTGCTAGAAAGGTCGATCTTCTTCAGTTTTGCTATGGGGTGTGGGGGAGAATACAGAGAGAGTCGTGGGACACACCGTCTTTCCTTGCCCGTGCTGGACCTGCTGGTACCCAGCCCCATCCCTTTAAAGATGGGGAGTGCCAGCCAGTCCTCCACCTGTATGAAGTCCAAGCCAGAAGAAATAACATGGTAAACCAGGACCTTCTGGGAAAACCCTCCGATTCTGCCATACTTCCCACTGGGTGGAATCCCACGGGGTTGTGTCGTGTGTGGTGGCCGCCCATGGATGAGTTTAGTAGAAACCTTTCGACGCCAAGATCCAACAGGCCCACCAATCTCTGGGCCCATTCTACCCCCACCATTCACCATTAGTTAACACAAAAGGATGCCGTGGCCCAGAAGGCTATGGGATTTAGTGGCAGAATCTGGATTTGAGCCCAGGTTTCCCATCTGAGGCAGGGTATTAGGCAGAAAGAAGGAAAACACAACCAACAAAAAAAATAGGTTAAACGGCCTCAGTGCTATGGAGAGTCGATTTAGCCTGGGCTTGTCCAGAGGCCAAAGGGTGCGGAGCTCTAAGGGCTGGGAATCCTGAAATGGAGGCTTGATCCTGTCTTCCCCTTCCCAGCTTTCCAGAGCTTTGGGGAGAACAAATGAGGACAGATCACCTTCATTATCCAAAATCTTCAAGGAAACAAATTAGAGAGACTTGGGGGCTATTTCCATTTGGTGGCCGGGGGGACTGAAAGCTAACAGGGAAAGGCCAGCACAGGTGGGACACTTTCACCAGGCCATGGCATACTCAGCCCTTTGAAGTCTCCAGCTCGGATCCGGCTGATGCGGTTGAAGCGGGCGTACAGGTAAACGGTTGCCTTGGGAAGAGGCGGGATGCTCTCTAGGTCAGTGTCATCACAGTACACAGAGGAACTGAGGCACACGCAGATCAGACAGGTAGGCAGGTCTGGCTCAGCTGGAAGACAGAACATAGGGAGACCCTTCTCAGACTCCCTTTGGCCTCTGGGACCAGTGGCCCTTGCTCCAGGGACTGTCTGAGCCACGGCTAGGAAGAACTCAATGTCACAATGCACGGAGGCAGTGCTGTGGGCTGCTCCCAACCCGGCGCTCAGCCCCCAACCTAAGAGAAGCAGATCCACACCCAGTTATTATCCAGTTTCAGCCCATTGGTGCTCTATCGGGCCCCAGTCCTATGTAGGTCTTCCTGGGCCTATGTGGGTGTTTCTAGGACATCCATCGGCCTTTTTCCCCCCATAGGGCTCCTCTCTGGTCCCAAAGGCACAGTGAAGATAAAATAAAGGTAGAATTAGGTGGAGTGGCCAGTGGTTGCTGGCCCTGCCAGGTAACTTGTGGGCGGGGACTTAGACATGTTCTGTATGGCTTCAAGAAGCATAACAAAGCCACAATGGAGTGGACAGTGCTCGCCTAGGATTCGTTTCCCTTTCTTATGGTGTCGGCATCCCAGGAAATAGCTCTCTCCTGTTCTCATGCCATGACCAGCAGTCATTAGACAAAAAGCCAGCCGTTCAAACCCAAACTGGCTTTAAAAAGTTGGGAAGACTTTGCTGGCTCATACAACTGAACTGTGCAGGTGGTTTCCATCACTCACTTCACAAGGGACAGAGATTATGGGTGACCACTGCTCATTCAACTCAAGGGTGAAATCTGTTAGCAGTGACACAGCCCCACGATTAAGAGGCAGCTCTTCTTTACCGGTGGCCACGAGTAGAGGTGGAGCAGAGAGGACCTCAGGCCCTTCTTATCCCAAGGCCTTGAGTGGCAGATCAAGTTAAGCCCTATTATGGTCTTTCTAAGCCTGGGATTCTATAGCTCTGAGAGGTCATGGATTCCTATGGATGCCCTGATACTCTTGATCCACCCAAGGCAAATATCTCAAGAGAAGAGAGCCAGGGACCAGCAAGTCCAGGGTTAACAGCATCTCTCCTCTGCTCCAGTTCTGGTCCCCAAAGAGTGCCAACCCCTTACTGTCAATAGGCCAGCACCCCAGTCTCCAGGAGAGCATCAGGGAGGGGAAAAGAGCTGCTAAGGGGGAATTTAGAGCTGAAAAGCAGTATGTCTGCTGCATTTACCTCTATGCCTAGTGACAGCCACAAAGTTATTTATTCTCCTCTACAGGCTTTTAATTGTCTCTAATCTAATTACCACTCGACCTGCTCCCCTAGTGATGCTGTTAATTAAGGTGGGGTGCCTTTGCTAGTCATAGTAGAGTTCTTGCTCTTTCTTTCTTTCTCTCTCTCTCTTTTTTTTTTTTTTTTTTTTGGTCTCCTGTCCAATTTGTGCATTCAGCAAAAAGCATTAGGGACAGCCAGCCTCTCCCTTTGTTTTGTTTTTGTTTTCTGTTCCTTCTGTGGCTATTGCTCCTCCCCTCCCTTAAAGTAAAGGTTAGCCCCGATCCTTTACTCCCTACCCTAATCACACTTCACCGTGGTAGGCCCAGTGCTGGGTCATGGCCGCATAGCCTGTGACCTGTGCATATTGAGACCGGTGACCATGAACTCACCGTGGCTGCTTGGGGAGCCCGGGAGGCCCAGCATAGTAGGCTTGGTCACTGGGGGCTTTGAAGAGAGTGTCCTTGGATCCATCGTGCTCTGAGTGGAACTGATCTGGGTTGGAGCAGCCAGGCTGGTCACTTTGACCTGGAGACATAGCACACAGCACACAGTAGGCCAGTTTTTGACTCTGGACTATGGGGACCTCAGCGACCAATTTCTAACTTGCAAAGAGTCACTGTGGAGGAAAGGGGGAGGGAGGAAGAGACTTCTTAAAGAGCATCTGGTCCAGTATCTTCCTTACATGGAGGAGGACATGGGCCCAGAGAGGGGAGCACCAGGGATCAAGGAGGTGGCTGGGGGCCAAGCTGTCCAGAGCTGGATTGCATGTCTCTGGATCGCCCAGGCTGGCATGCTTCCTCTCGCTCAGCACTGACTGAGCTCACACAGCCAACGGATGTAGGCTTCAGATCAGCCCCTGCCAAGGCCAGGAAGGGCTGAGAAATAACTGCAGACTAGAAGACAGCTGAAGAGCAGATGGGGTTTGGAGCTTCTTTTTCTAGCAAGAATATGAAGACCTCGCTGACTCCCACCCAGTGAGACACGGCTTGTGGTCTTATTTGCCAACAGGCTCCAGATGTATGACTTCTGTGGGGGATCCCACCAAGTTTACTACAAACCAACGAAGAAACGGAACTTCTGTTGTCCTCTTTCTTAGTGTTATCTAAGTAATAAGTTCCTATGAAGGGACTAGAATTTCCACTTCCTGGAGAAAGGTGGAGGCTTGAACCCCTGCATTGTGGGCAGCTGGGAGAGGCCCAGGCCCAGGGAACGCAGTTGGTCTGCTGTGTGCCCCTTACCTCGGGGAGCTGGTCCACATAGTCCATGAGCCCCTCATAGTCGCTCAGGTCAATGACCTCATCGTAGTTGTCCAGGCCAGGGACGTAGTTCCCCAGATTGAGGACCGCATAAGAATCTCCTTCCTCGTTAGTCTGGTCTCTCCTCTTCCTCCCCTTTGGGCGAGAAGCTGTCCCTGCTTCTAGCAGCACCAGTGCCAGTAGGCTCAGGAAAGCCGGGAGCTTCATGGGGGCCCCGGGAGGAGATGGCAGCAGAAATGGGGCTAAATCACTTCAGAGCCCAGTCCTGAGGAGGGAGCAGGAGGAAGGGTAGCCGTCTAAGAGGCAGGGCTCTCTGGGGCTCACTTCCCACCCCCACACTTGCTGACTCCAGGCCGTGCGTTATACACGCAGTGCATCTATTGCAGGTGCAAGCCCCCTAAAGGCTGGGGCTGCGTCTAGGGGGCTTCTCCTCCCAGCCCCTCCCACTGCCGCCCAACTTCAGTGCCTGTGGGCTCACACACACACTGATATTCCCTCGCACGGGCGTGTGCAGACACCTGGCAAAGGCTCGTTTACTCACTCACGCAAGCCTCCTTGTCTGCACCCCTCCCTGCTAATTAGCCATACACTCGTGCATCTATACAAATGTTCTCTCTAATACAACCACACATGCAGAATACAACCATTAGTCACTGAGCTAGATTTAGAGAAGCTTCATCATCAAGGAGTCTTGTGGCTTTTTAAAAGGTTATTCTTCCGTCACTCATTTGCTCAACAAACATTTATGAGGTATCTATTATGTTCCAGGCACTGGACTTCTCTCTGGGGGTGCAGAAATAAATAAGGCATGTCCAGTGCATTCAGAGTTCATGGTTTTAAAAACTGACATATGATTTTAAAAGACCATTAGTGATAAAATATACTTCCTAAATGCAGCTTTATAAAAATGTTTATTTATTTATTTAGAGAGAGAGAGATCATAAATGGGGGCAGAGAGAAAGAGGGACAGAGTATCCAAAGCAGGCTCCACGCTGACAGCAGTAAGCTCGAACTCAAGAACTGTGAGATCAGGACCTGAGCCCAAGTTGGAAGCTCAACCAACTTGAGTGGCCACCCAGGGGCACCCCTAAATACAGCTTTTTAGAAACAAATGATTACAGAAACAAAAAGTGTTCTTTGTATGTAGTTGGGGGAGTATGTACCCATCTAGAGAGTTCCCTAGATGTCTGTATGTGTGCACCAGTGATTATGTGCGTGCGTGATGAGCACGTAAGCAGGAATGTTTATGTAAGTTCACACGCATGTGCACAGGCAGGTCAAGGAATGTGTGTGGTGTGGGTGTGAGGGGCCCGGTGTGTTTCTGATAGTGCGGCTGCAGAAATGTCTAGCAGAGGCGCCCCTCTTTTTTCATTTTAGCTGGGTAAAGGCTAAGCCCTCTGCAGTAGCAAGAATGAACTTTTCATCAGAGCTTTCTGCCCCCAGCCCCAACTCCTAGCAGCCCCCTCCCACTTCTCTTGCCCAGAGGTTTAAACTCCCTCGTTCTCCCCCAGCCCAATCCCACCAGGCCTGCAACATCAGCCCCTCATTTGCATACCAATGGGCCTAACCTTAAACCTTGAACCTTACCCCAGGCAATCCTGTTTCAGAACTGGAGCCTCACAGCTTCCCGAGAAGTACGGACTCCAATGGAAAGGTCGAAGTAGGGACTCCGATGGGATGGAAAGGTTGTCTGCAGTGGGCCAGGGTAGACAGCGGGGCGCTGGCCGAGGCCAGCGTGGGGCCAATCAGACTTCTCTCCTTCCTGGTATCCAGCTGTTTCCCCTCCTCTTTGCTCAGCGGGTTCCGCCCCCCCCCCATCCCATTCTTTTGTTTGGTGAGTGGGAATTTCTCTCCTTCTACCTCCTCCACTGCCCCCCCCCCCACCTTTTTGCCTCTTTGTCTGCTGCTTTTCTCTTTTCTGGGCCACTCTGAGGGGGCTGGCAGTCCCCACTCCCTAAGGGAGCAGACAGCCGGTGGAGGAGCACTCAAAGGGATGTGGCTTAACTTTCTTGCTTTTTTCCAGATGGAACCCAAAGATTCAAAGAGGCTGAGTTAAGGGACTCCGACCATGCCCGGAGCCCCAACATGGGAGCATAACTGCACAAAAATCACCAGACGGGGCTCTGAAGGCTGGGGCTATTCACAGAGAGGGTGAATGGGGGGTGAGGTAGGATTTGAAGGATGGGGACGATGATGCCAAGGAGGATACAAGAGTTCTCTCAGTCTACTGAGGGTGAACCCTAGAAAGGAATTCCTAATCATGAGGAGGCATTGTGTGGGGTCCTGGGGGAGGGGGGGCTGAGAAGAATCTTCTCCTTCCGCCCCCTGCCAGAGATGTACATATCACGAGAGATGCTCTTTTCCTTGGTGCTTCAGGCTGCCATGAAGGGAGGAGTGGGGGGCTAAGATGCCCCCCGTATCCTGCCAGCCTGTGTGTTTGCCCCGGGGGTGGGAGGGGGTTTTTCATCAATGCCCCTTGCTCCCCACTCCCTCCCACTGACCCCTGGCTGCAAAGCTCCCTGACCATCACTCAGTCCAAACCGCTTACCTAGCAGATAAGAGACCGAGGTCCAGCTAGGTGCAGCGACTTACCCAAGGTCACACAGAGCCAGGGCCAGGGCCTAGATTTCTTGACTCTCAGGCCAGAGAGTTGTCCTTGGTTCATATGACCCTGCCCCTTTTCACCTCATTCCCCGCCCCCCCCCCCAAGTTCTGAGATCAGGTGCCTTGATGCCCTCAGGACAGATGGCCTTGGCAGGATGCATCTCTGCCCTGGCAAACCGGGTGAAGGGGCAGATCGAATAGCCTGGCCCAATGGGCAGTGCTTGGCCTGCAATGCTCCCAGGCACCAGCTGGTGTGGAGGAGGCATCCCCCAGCCCCAGGACCTGGTCACCAAAGGAACGCATGTTCCTGTGCCCCTGGGAGCCTACCATCTGGAGAGAGTTACCAACAGGGTAACTGCTGGGTGGAGGTCTGCTGGGTGGAGGGAGAGATAGCCCTGGAGCCAGCAGGGTCCCCTGGAAGCAGATGGCCCATTTGGCGCCCTGTCTTCCCCCGCTTTCTCTCTACAGCATTCCACGAAGAGACTAACCCTCCCCCCACCCCAGACCCCAGTGAGGCTGGGCTCGCCCCCACCCCCTATCCCATGCCATTTATTCCCTGCGAGCAAGGCAAATGCGACTGTTAATTCATTCCCGTCTTCGTCTGCTCCCACTCTCCCTCCTCACTTTCTCAGATTGCTCCTCCCACACACTTTTGCAAACTCAGAGGCAAGGCCCGCAGGCTGAGCCCGTCTCCTATGGCGCATGCGCAGGCTCCCCCTCCCCTCCCCCATCCCGGCAAAGAGCTCCTTCCGACTCAGGAGGCGCCTCGTAGACTCTGTCCCAGCTTCTACTCTAGCTTTTACAAGCTCTCCCTTCATTCGCTCCGGTTTCCATGCGTGTGTATGACTCGTGTGGGAACCCACTAACCATCATGAGGTTGTGGCGTGATGCTCAGCTCCCTGGGAGCCTGCTCATGGGGCGGGAGGTGCAGGAGCCCTTTCGATCCCCGATCCCCGTGTCTCATTAGGAGAGGCGCGAGGCATGTTGATGGAAAGGAGGTGGCAGGCGGTGGGGACTGGAGCCTGGCCAGCTGACCCTGTTGCTGCCCCTTCCATGGGCGGGGGTGGAAATTTCAGGAACCCTCCTGCTTTTTTGGACAACAGGGATAATATTCCCTGCTGAGGCTTGTAGCCACATCATTCTGTGACCTTAACACATTCCTCTTCCTTTCTCAGGCGTGAACACACACACACACACACACACACACACACACACACACACACACTGTAGGTTACATATACTCCATGCCTTCCTACCTTTTGGCTTTCCTGTCCTGGTTATGTGATTTTTCCTCCTCCTTCCCCCACCAGGCAAAATCTGATTCATCCCTTAACATCCATCTCAAATGATAGGAGTCCTTCTGGTGAACCTCCACGGGGTAGGGGCCCTCCCCCATGCTTTTTGTACACGTCTTACTACAAACACTTAGGACACGTAACTGCTCCATGGATGTTCCCCTTACCAAGCTAAGAATGCCTCAAGGGCATGGGCAAGGATATCGCCTATCCTTGAATTCTGAGCTGGGAACCTTGCACAGAGTCGATGTCCACTGAGCTTAAGCAGGTATTAGAGGGATGAGGCAGTATCTGGCAGTTTTCGGTCTGCAGAAAAGGGTGTAGGCCGGGAGGATCACGAATCCACTTCTGAAATTAACCTTCTATCTGAAGGCAGATTTCTGGGCACCCAGTTCTTGTCCTTCTGTGTGGCCTGTAGAGTCTCTGTCCTTGGCCCTTGCTACAGCTTTGCCACTATTTCGTGTATTTTAATGGCATCTCTGCAACTAGACTGTAAGTTTTCCTTGATCAGGAAAGGTGACTGTTTTGTGTCTTTCGGTATCTGGCTCAGTAATGAGCACCTGATAGACCCCCCCCCAACCATTTGATATCTGTGGGTTGAAAGAATGAATCCAAGCCTTTGGGCTTCAAATGTAGCTGTCAGACTTCCAATCTGACTTTAGGAACTGTTTTTCATGACAGTTGCAAATTTGGGAGAAACTTGCCAAGAAAAGGCTTTGGAATTGTTTTCTTAGAGTTTCTTAGGAATCAGATCCTTTCTCCACCCACCATCTCCTTGGAGCAGGTCAGAGGCGGGAGGTGGGAGGAGAAGGGTGGCAAGAGAACTTCAAGATGCTCTTTACTTGTTCACATTGTCAAGTTCAAGGAGGATATTTTTCATATTACTTTATTTCCTCTGCTGTGAAGCGCGTTGGAATGTAGAAGTTGTTTCACAAAGTTAACATGGTTTTGAAGAAAGAACAGATATATGTAGAGTAACCTACACACCTACTTACACACCTGGACGTGTAGATGACAATGGCACTGAAAGGATGAACTCGTATATGGAGGAGGGGCTTCCTGAAATCCTAGGGCAATCAGCACAGAGTTGGGGGTGTTGCTGTGAAGCCAGTTTAACTCGATCCCCTCTGGCTTACAGCCACAGGGAGCAGTGGGGGAAGCAGACTAGATGGGCTGATGGCGATGGCGTGATGCTGATTGTTTTGCTGCTGAAATGAAACAGTTTAGGTATCAGGAGCAGAAATGACCCCTGCCTCAGGGGAACCACAGGAGCGTGCTCCCCCGGAGGGCCTCATCTGAGGGGCCGAGGTTGCGAGGTGTGAGTAAGGTGCAGAAGGGGGGCTTATCCAGGCCTTAGCACCAGGTTGCTTATAGCCACAGTAATAGGTTGACTTTAAGCAGGAGCCTTGGAGAAACCAGCTGCAGCTAGGAAGAACGAGGCAGTTATATGGGAGCACAGCCGGGCTGGGGAGCGTGGTGGGAGGACGCTAGGGTGAACTGGGCCCCGTTTTCTGTAAATTAGCAGAAGAGAAAGATGAGATAGAGTGTAATGGGGATTTCTTGAAGTTAAGGGCCTAGCTGAATCCAGTTTCTTAAAAATCTCTGGAATTTTTCTCAACCTAGAAGGTGGGCACTGTGTCTTACTTATTTCTAGAACATTCACCCACCCACCAACATATACACTAGGGAGCTGTAGAGGGGCAGCATTCCCTATAGAGGGGGGAAGGGGATGGGAGCGAGTCCTGTGGGGCCCAAGGCTCTGCTCATCTGGCCCTGGCAGGGAGGGTGGAGTACTTTGAGGGAAGGGGCAGTCCAAGTAGGGAATAAATTACTGCAAGGGAAAGGAAGGGATAATATTAGATGATTAGAGCATGGTTTAAAGAGTGGAGCTGCAGACTAGAACATGAATGCCAGAGAGGCCTCAGAGGGACATCTTATCCACCCCCTTGGCATACAGATTTGGGGACTGAGGGCAGAAGGGACTGGCCAGGTCAGACAGCAAACAGGAACAAACTGTATCCTCACCTGGGTTTCTGAAGGTTCCCACTTGTGCTCACTTATGATGGAAGTCAGCCCCTGGCCTCAAGGCCTCTGTACCTTTGTGCCCTTTACATCCCAGAGGAGAGAGAGACTATGCGCTTCACCCATGGCTCTTCAAGTTGGAACCCAGGGCCAGCTCCTTGACTTTGTAAAACCATCCCAGAGTGGAGCCAGCTGTGACCTGTACCAGCCACCAGGTGTCACTGATGTGTCTGCCTAAGAGGGGAAGCCAATTTGAACTTGTGGAATGGGCTTCTGGGAGATTTCCAGGTGCTCCGCCTCTTCTAGAGCCCATTCTCATGAAGTGCTTCTGGGCTTTGGAGAGGATTGGGCCATCCACACTGATCTAGAACAGATGGCGGGCAGGGTTAGTGGCTCTGCACCCTGCACTATGGACACTGTGTTGCCCGAGGCCTGGTCTCTTGTCTAGACTGGCAAGGGGCTGCAGGAACCATCTGCACCCACGAAGGCCCAACCCTAGAGCTCTGACTCCCACCCCCCTCCCACTGACCTATATCTGGTTCTTAAAGCTACTCTCCTTGACTGTTCCTCCCTGTTCTTACTCGGGAAAGAGTGAGGCCCAGCCAGAAGGGTGTGTGCTGAGGCGAGCCCAGCTATCCCTGTGAAGAGACTGCCAGATATGGATCCTTGCAGAAACCCTGACCCTTAGCCTTCCATCAGCCATTCCCTTGCACCTCCTTGCGGGAGAACGCAGGCTGGTAAAAAGCTAGCACGATGTCTGGTGGCAGTGAACAGGGAAGAGGAGCGGTAGGGTTAGAAGGCGGGATCCTTGGCTAAGGGTCCTTTCGGGGCCAGAGCTGCCCATCGTGGCGGCGTCCCCAGCAGGACCTTCCAAACCTCACCTCTGGGCTCCTCCCGCCCACCTTCTGCTTGCTTCGCCAGGACCAAGTTCCGGATGTCAGTCCATGGCCCAGGTGTACCCAGCAGTGACCGGGAGAAGGAGGAGAGAGGAGGCTATGAAGTCTTTAGACACACACCTGTGCTTCTGGGGCCAGATGTCTGGGTGTGCCGTGGGTGGCTGTGAGCGGGGTGAACCCAATCTAGCCCTTAGAAGTCTTGCTCTAGAAGCTGCGGGTGCAGCAGAGTATGTGGCTAGTCCTTGCCTCAGGAAGGTGGGCTGAGAAAGGCAAAGCTGGGAGCAAGAAACAAAGATAAAGAAACTGAATGGTGGGCACAGGCACGTGGGCCACCAGCATTCAAGTGCGGTCAGAGGAGATCCAAGGGCAGAGTGAGGCCTAGATGACCACGGATTGCAGCAGGCGGAAGCACATCATGAGGTCCAACGGGATGGGCGGCTTCAGGTGGTTTCCATCCAGCCGCAGGTAGCGCAGGTGTGGCACGTTCTCCAGATCTGAGGAGAAGTCATGGAAGGCAACTAGGTCGTTGGGGCAAATCTGGGTCCCATTGATCTCTGTGGAGAAAGAAGGGAGAAGTCAGCCAGTGAGGTGGGCGGGGCGTCGGGCCACACGGGGTTGGGGAAGGGGGAGCACAACCGAGGACAAGCACTCAGGCTGGCTGCTGTCAGCGCGCAGGCTTCGGATCTTCTGTCCACCTCTCTCTGCCCCTCCCTCTCCTTCCCTCCCTCTGTCAAAAATAAAAAGAATAATTAAAATAAAAAGAATAAAGTAAATAAGATAAATAAAATAAAAAGAATAAAGTAAATAAAATAAAACAAAGAAAATAAAAAGAATTTGAGTTCTCTTCCCTGGAATTGTCTGACCTTGGGAATGTGTGACCTTGGGTACCTGGGTTTATTCTACTTGTAGAATGAATTAAGTCAGAATTGATCAACCACTGTTAATGGAAATTCACTCTGCAGAGTCATGGAGGAAGGAAACTGTGAGCTGGACCTTCACGGATGGGTGGGACCGCAGCTGGTAGAGACCTGGGGGGTGGTGTTCTGATAGAGTGACCTATTCTGATAGAGTTGCAGAGGCCGCAAAGCTCGTGGTGGCATCTGGGAGTAGTAAATAGCACAGAGATGCACTAGTGAAATATGCCGGACCGGTAAGCAGCCACATTGTGGTAGGCTTTCAAATGGAAAATGAGATGTCACCTCTGCTTAGATGATATCAGATATATTACCTTCCAAATGAGTTTCTTATTTTCCCTAAACCTTGCCTCTTTCATCGTCTGTGGGATCAGCATCATTGTTACTGATGTTGTTCTTTCTGGTCTTCTTCCTCGCTCTTCATCATTGGAGTAGCAGAAAGAGCCCTGACAGAGGTGAGTTTTCTTCCTATGACTGCTGTGACTTTGGACTATCACCTTCCCACCCTGACATTTAGTTGCCAGATCTGTGAAATGGGGAGAGTGGTACCTGCCCCTCACCTCCGATGAGAGAATGTGGATGAAGGCATTTTGCAAACTGTAAAGGACAGGGCAGAAGGCAGCGTTAAGATCATTGCTGAGAATGTGGTGATCACGCTGACCCAGGGCTCACTCCACCCATTCTGTCCATCAGTGACAGGGGAGACAGGCTGGGGGTAAGGGGTACATGTGGAGTGGGTGTGATTTTTCTGACTACAGCCTCAAAGGGCTGGATATCTCCTAGTAGCCCGCTTTCTATAACCCAATAGAGACTGTGAGCCATTTATTAAGGTATTCTTTCTGCCTGTTTTTTCAACGTATCTAGCTTTCTGGGGGTAATGCATTCCATCAGTTTACTACCTGCAGGATGAAATTAGACAGTTTTCCCTTTTCCTGAATTTGTTTTTTGCAAGCTTTAAAACAGCCCTTCCCTAGGGCACCTGGGTGGCTCAGTCAGTTGAGTGTCAGACTTTGGCTCAGGCCATGATCTCATGGTTCATGAACCTGTGTGGGATTCTCTCTCTCCCCCTCTCTCTGCTGCTCCCCCACTTGTACTCACTCTCTTTCTCTCTCAGAATAAATAAACTTAAAAAAAAAAAGCCCTCCCTTCTTTCTGAAATTATTCCAGATGAGTGAATAAGATTTTCCTTTCATCCATTTGTTTCAAAATTGTAGAAATTCAACAGTCTCATTCTTTGGCTTGGAAACTAAAGATTCCTAATATTACTTCAAGGGTACTTCCCTTTATCCGATAGCTGCTGCATTCCTGGTATGGATGTAGTCTGGTTTTATTCAAGGACCAGATGGTATTCTCCCTTTTTCTTAAAGCTTTCTATTGATGCTCTGCTCAGACCTGACATTTTTGATCGATGCAAAACTGGGACTTCCAGCCTCTTCCACTGGGCTGTGATTTTTATCCAAAGCCCAGGACTCTGTAAGTGCAGCTTAGGCAAATCCTGCCTGAAATGTACTATCTTATAGGACTAATTCCAGCCTTCCAGATAGATTCAGAAAGCGCCTGCACACTGACTTGTTTTTCTGGCTGCCACATATTTTTAACCAGCTGCCTACCCTGAGTCTGTGGCCGCATTCCCGCGTACATCTTCGAGAGATTCTTCCAAACCTCGTTTCAGTCTTGCTATTATAGCCACCAGCTTCTGCAGCCGACAGGCCAAGGACATTTCAAGGCAGGCACTTAAATGTCACTGTTCTGCTTTTATGAGAATGTCCAGGACCCTATTCCCTGCCCACCGTGCCTGTAGATCTGGAGGGCAGAGAGGCTGGGGCTAACGAGAAGGATCAGAGGAAGAAAAGCTGTTACCCTCCAAGCATGGTATTCTAGGCACGTGATATTAACCTTTCAAATCCTCATATCAGCTTTGTGACAGAAGGTACTATTCCCATTCTCACTTTACAGATGAGAAAACTTCCCGGAGAGAAGGTCAAGATTTGGAGTCCAGTGCCAACCTGGATGCTTTTCTGTCCTACCTCCCCCCCCACCCCAGGCTCCTGAGAAAGGGTTGAGACAATAAGAGCCTTCCCTTCCCTGGCTGTGGCCATGGCCCCGCCCCACCCCCACTCACTCTCTATGCTGTTGTTGTTGAGGTACAGGTGCTCCAGCTTGTTGCTGATGGCGGGCACGCTGCTGATCTTGTTGTGGGACAGGTGGAGCACGAGCAGATTGGAGATGTTGAAGGAGTTCTTGGGGAGCCCCCTGTCTGACAGCCTGTTGTAGTTAAGGCGAATGAAGGCAAGGTTGGGGAAGCCCTTGAAGTATCCATTAGGGATGGTCTCGATCCTGTTGCTGTCCAGGTAGAGCTGGTGGATGGCCGTGGGGACCTTGGGCGGCATCTTCCGCAGGATGTTGTGGGCCAGGTTGAGTTGCATGAGGTTCTTGAGGCCCTGGAAGGTGTCGGCCTTGAAGACGCCGTCGCTCAGCTTGTTGTGTTGGAGATCCAGAAGCAGCAGGCTCTCCAGTTTGCTGAAGACGCCAGGTGGGATTCTGGAGATCTGGTTCTGGCTCAGCCTCAGCTGCTCCAGGTTCCGCGGCAGGGCCGACGGCACCTCCTCAAGCTGGTTCTTCTCCATGTAGAGGAATACCAGACTAGGTAGTTTCTCCAGTACCTTCTGGTCTATCTTGCGAATCCGGTTGTTATCCAGGTTGATCCACCGCAGACCTGTGGCGTTCTGGAAGGACTCCACCGGGAGCTCGGTTATGAAGTTGTTCTGGAGATAGAGGTAATGGATGCGGGGAGGGATGATGGGGACCTTTCGCAGGTTGCGGCTGTCACAGTAGAGGGCAGACGGGAAATCGGAGGGGCAGTAGCATTCCCGGGGGCAGTCAGGAAAGATAGATGGAGGGCCTGGTGGGAGGGGAGGGGGCAGGTCTGTAGGCTCTGATGGCTCATGGGGCAGAACAAAGCTGGGTGTGGGCCTAGGTCTGGGCCTGGGCCTGGGCCTAGGTCTTGGTCGTCTTGTTATCTGGCCTTGGGCCACTGAGGCCAAGATGAGGAGCAGTGGGAGGATCCAGCAGAGGGATGACCTCATGATCCAGGTGATGTACCTGCGGGGAGGAGACACACGAGGTCATTAGCCTCCTGGGCCTCTGTAATTAGAGGCCCTGTGTTGGAGGCTAGAGTTGGCCAGGATGGGTGGGGGGGAGGGCTGTGGGAGGGACCCGTCAAAGCATCTCTTCGTTTGCCGGTATCCAGCAGATGGGAAAATAACAAGGGCTTGAGGGTCCGGGCCAGAGGCCTAGCTGCTCAGTGTGTTGAGCCTGCTCTGGGAAGCGTGAGCCATGCTTGCAGAAAGCATGTTGGCTGCAAGTCAGGAGCTCTGGGGCTTGCTGGAAAAGCCCCTTCACCTCTCTAGCGCTTGGTCCCTCTATCTGCGGCGCGGGGAAATCATCCCTGTTCTGTAAGAGGGATGGTAGGACACATAGAGGCCTGAGTGTTACACCCGGAGACGTCCTTAAAGATCCCATAATCCAGTGGTGCTCGAACTATGTCTCTATTTCTGTGGAGCACCCCCCCGCCAAGGGAGGGAGACCAAGTGGGCAGATCTGAGGCACCCCAGCTCACCCCCGTGGCAATCTGAGCAGCCCTGTGTTTTTAAACCCGTTATGTATAGAGGATTGGCCAAAGCACACATTTGAAAGAAGAGTCGCATTGCTAAAAATGGTTTGAAATCCACCAATCAAGCCCAGACTCTACTGTTGACAAAAGTTAAGTACTGGAGGGAAGAAGTGGCTTGCCGAGTGAGGGCAGGAAGCCCTTTAACAGCAAGCCCAGGACAAAAACCCAGGTCTCCTGCCTTCCCGGGCAGGGCTCATGGAGGCCCTGGAAAGGAAGGAAAGTGCTGTAGACATGCTTGTATCTTGTGTCCGCCCCTGCTCTCTCCTCAGCCCTGTGCTCTGCTGGTCTTTGCCAGCAGGAGGTGTACCAAGAATTTCTCCCCAGATGTGGAGGCTCCTCTGAAAATAAACAGAGAAGGGATCAAAAGCTGTGAGGAAATCACTTTCATTTCTTCCTCATGGTATTGCTCCTCCCATATCCATTGGAGTTGGTGGTTTTGAGACAGGATATGAAGAACTTCCCACTAGCCTCGGTGACATGGTGGAGTAAGTCACTGAAGGGTATTTGGGGGTTGTGCTCCCAGTGGCTCTGATCACCCTTCAATAGAGTCATGTGGTTTGAGTTGAATTAAGCTGAGGAAAAAGCAATAGACCAGGACTGCAAGCAGAAAGTGGCAGCTCCCACAGGCTTCCTCCCTTCCCCTGGCTGGGAAGGGTCCAGGGCGGGGCTTCCTGAACCCTCCCCTCCACAGGGCCATCGCCCTAGGACACTCCCCGCTGGTCTGCAGCCAGGGTCCCTGTTCCCACACTGCTTCCCCAGCCCCTCCTTGCTGCTTCCTCACAAAGTGGTGGTCTGTCCCTCCCTTCCTGGGGCCTAGGGCACGGAGTATAGGCTGGCTGGGGTTCTCTGAGCTGGGGGGGCTGCAGAGCGTCCCCAGCTGCCTCTGGACCCTGGGACCCCTGCCTCTGTTCCAGGCCTCTTGCTGTCTTTCCTTTGAGCCCACATCAGCTGAGACTCCTCCCTTGCAGGCTTCTAGCTGGCTTTGCTCAAAGGAAGATGCTAGAAGCCCCATACCAGCTGCTTAGTCCTGGGCCAGATGCTCAGGAGTGACAAGAATGTGACAAGAAACAGGAGAGAGGGAGAGGGGGTAGAGCTCAACCCTGAGGGGTAGAGGGTGTCTCCCCTCACCTTTCACACGCACCGCACCCACCCTCGACACCTAGTCTGCTCGCTCTCTCTCTCATACACACACACACACACACACACACACACACACACACTCCCCACCCTGCATCATACACCTATGCAAAGCCAGGTTCACGTGTCCACTATGTTTGTGACCTTCCACAGTACACAGAATGGGAGAGGGACAGAGAGGGAGGGAAGGAAGGAGGGAGGGAGGGAGAGAGGACAGGAAGGGAAAGAGGGAGGAAGGGAAGACAGAGGAGCCAGAAGGAGGCAAGAGATTGCCTGGCAGCTCTGTTGCCCTCCATCTCCCTCCAAAGGGGTCTCTCCCCAGGTGGGCTCCTCCAAGGGGGTCCAGGGGCCATTTCCCTGCCTCCTCCCACAAAGAACCTCACAGTTAGACTCTTGACTTTAACTCCAGCTGAGGATCCAACTAGCAGTCCCGAAAGGACTGGAAAGAGCAGACATTCATTGTGAACTGAACTTGAGTCTTGCTCCTGGCCCCACATCCCTTAATGATCGGTGAGTTATGAATCAACATTTCACTAGCCCTGTGCTTTTCTTAAAAATAGCACAGTCATATACATTTCAAGGGGTTAAAAGGTCCGTATGCTAAAAACAAACATTTTTAAAGCCCCAAATTTTGTGACCCTTTTTGTTCTGACATGTCTTTATTTTCTGATTATCTGGAAGCTGAAATTAGCAAAAGACTTCCCAGCTCCTGCTCCAGACTCTTCGGGAACTTTCCTTATCTTTCCCCCACAAACACCCCCCCCCCCCCCCCCCCCCCCCCCCCCCCCCCCCCCCCCCCCCCCCCCCCCCGCTCTGCTTCCCCCTGCTTCTGACCCTCTCACATTCCAAACCTCTGAGGCTGGTCAGGCTCCTCTCAGAGCCATTAAAAGGTTTTAGAGGAAAAGTTCTCTGTGCCTGTTCCATGGAGAAGCACTGGATCTGTTCGGCTCCCCTTCTCCTAGCCTCACGGTGCAACCACTCTGTGTGTGTGTGTGTGTGTGTGTGTGTGTGTGCATGCTTCTTGAGAAAACAGAGCTCATGCCTAAGGCTTCTCTCATTGGGCAACGCCTCTTTCTGCCAGAGCCTAACTGTCCAGAGGGGAGGTCCTGACAGCACAGCCATTGCTATGGCAAAACAGCGATGTCCTATGTCCCCCAAAGCAGAATCTGTGTGACAGAGTAGAGGTCCCTGGACTCCAAGGGAGTCATAACCCGCCCCCCGCCCCCCAACAAAGCCCCAAGTCACACTTTTTTTTATGTTCCTGCCTTCCAGAGCCTTCTGTCCAATCATGAACTCCCTTAGGGTGGGTCATACTGTGCATGATTTTTAAATTTCATGCGCCTTTGCAAGCACGCCGCCACACCTCGCAGCATTCAGCGGGGCCGTGCTCACTGCTCAGTCAATGGGCGCCTGTTAACCAGCTACAACCACTGACCTCACACCATTCTGGGCACGGGCTCTCAGAGACGTGCTGCTTCACGGGGGCAAAGCCCAGCATTCACCCTCTCCACTTAAGCACATTTCCTGTGAGAGTTCTCATTTTGAATTTTAGTTCCAAGTATTGGAGATCTGGGCTTGAATCCTGGCTCTGACCCTCCTCCTCAGGCCCCCCGGCTCCTCATGTGTGTGCGGATGAAATGAGATCACACGCACGCAGGCATGTGGCAGAGCATAAAATCTCTACAAATGGTAGGCATTTCGCTTATTCATCTGTTTCTTTATAAAAGAGCAGGGTCCCTAGGGAAACTCTGATTTTTATTACTTTTTTTTATTTTTATTTTTTAAAAATTTTTTTTAATGTTTTATTTATTTCTAGGAGAGAGAGAGAGAGAGAGAGAGACAGCGTGAGCAAGGGAGAGTCAGAGAGAGAGAGTCACAGACTCTGAAACAGGCTCCAGGCTCTGAGCCGGCAGTCAGCACAGAGACCGACGTGGGGCTCGAACCCACAAACTGTGAGATCATGACCTGAGCGAAAGTCGGACGCTTAACCGACTAAGCCACCCGGGCACCCCGAAACTCTGATTTTTAAAGTGAGCTAGCCTGCGTCCCTACCTAGCTTGTGAGTTCATTCATTGAAGGCTTGAAAGCCAGGGCTAATGCTGAGACTCAGGGCAGGGCTGGGCTGAGGTTCACATGGGTTTATCAAGTCAGTAGGAGCAAGTTTCAGGGTAATTGGCTTTGCCTGGAGAGTGTGGGATTGGGGTTGGCCTGGAAGTCAGGCTGGGTGTGTCTCCCGGGTTGGAGAAGGATTACTCCACACTACAGTTGACCCTTGTGCGACACGGGCTGGGATTGCATGGGTTCGCTTATGGGCAGATTGTTTTCAATAAATACGTGTGCAGTCCTGTAAACGTACTTCCCCTTCCTCATGGTGTTTTAAAATAACATTTTGTTTCCTCTAGCTTACTTTATTGTAAGAATGCAGTATATACTACATATAGCATACAAGGCATGCACTTATCCACTGTTGGTTGATGGTATTGGTGAAGTTTCTGGTCAGCTGTAGGCTATTAGTTAGGTTTGGGGGGGAATCAAAAGTTATATGCAGATTTTCAACTGTGGGGGGGCATTGGCACCCCTAACTCTGTGCTTTTCCAAGGGTCAACTGTACTCATTACTAGTTTTTTTTCTTGTCAGATTTCCTGCCTAGTTGGTCACCCCTAAGTCTCCGTGGTTTAACCCAGCCAGTGTCCCTGCCATGGAGAATGGGGCTGCTCCCTGCCCCAAAGCTACCCCCAATGGGATGACCCTCTTTCTTTTTTCCCTTCTTTCTGTTCTAAACTCAGACTTTCGAAAGCTATCCTGCTCCCTTTTTCTCTTTCTAAAGCCCAGATGGGAGGAGTCAAGAGAATCAGGTGGTCAGTTGTAAACAGAGGAGTGAGATAGCCCCTTTCAAGGCCTCTAAGTAGGGCTGTGGGGGCTTGTGTGATCCTCAGATAAGGAAAGGGCTGATGTGGAGGCATGATGAATTCAACACACTATTTATGCAGCTGGGGGTGAATCAGAATACGGGTGAGCCTGTCTGGGGACAGAGCTTTAGGAGTTCTCAGCCCATCTTTCGCTATCTACTTACGTGGCCCTGACCTCAGCCTCAGTTTCCTTACCTGTAGAATGCGGATAACAAATTTTTCCTGTCCCTCTATTCCTCACCCACCTGTTGTCAGAAACAAGTGTGATAAGCGACTTTAAGATGAACCACAGATCAACAAATACTAAAAATAAATATAACACTATTATGGAGAGACCATCTGTCTCCCCAGCATCTACCACAAGGCAAAGTGTAAACAGAATGAAGTTTTTTTGGTCTGAGGCCACTAGCCCAGAAGAACAAGTTTTCCATTCCAAGGGACTAAGGACAAAATGGGACGAGATGGCTGTCCTCTTCTGACAGCCTGTCGCCTCCCCATATCCTTCGTTCTGCCTCCATCTCCCAGTGTCTCCAGCCCTTGAAGAAAGCCTAGAAGAATCTGTCTGATGCCTTCAGCACTTCTATGTAGATCTGGGTCTCAACCCCGCAAGTCTTCGGTGGCTCAGCTAGATCCCTTGGGCAAACCTCCCACCTCTACTAAACTTCGGTGTCCACATCCATAAAGTGGGCATGTTAACAACCTTCTTAGCAGATCGCTTCGAGGGTTAAATAAGTAAATGTGTTTAAAATGAGTGCTCAGTGAATGTTAAGCTATTGTTGATATTTTTTCAAAGTAATGGCATCTCTTTCCCTTTAACTTGGCCAAAGGCAGCCCTGCCTTCTACCCAAAGGCAAGGATTATCGCAAGTAGGTACTGGCTCATGGATTTCCCCCAGCTTTTAGACACCCAGCACCTCCTCCCTTGGGGCCTGTGAGTCCGCACTTGGGTCTTAGAATCAACTGGTTGAAGAGACCCTGTGGAAGCGCCCCAGCCACCTGGGGGAAGGCTCACTTTTTCTTTCCGATTCACTCACCCCATCGGAAGTCTTTTTGCAGCAGGAGAGAGGCTGCTGGCCAGGTGAGAAGCAGTCTCCCTTCCGTCCAGGCTCTGGAGCCCCTGTGACCCATGACTTCCCCTCCCAACCCCTTGCACCTGGCTTTTTGTTTCCTCTTCCAGCCTCGACATGCTTCCCTCCCACGCCCCGTAAGTGGGGCTGCCCACCGGAGAGTGCAGAGCTCGGTGTTCAGCCCATTCTCTGAGCACATGGGGAACAGACAGCTGCTGGGCGGGAGGAGAGGGGATCTAGAAGGGACGGGGAAGGACCCAGTGCAGTGCCCGGGTAGATTGGCAAGTGAGAGGAAACATAAGCTCTTTGGGGCTGTTTTGGGGGAACTTCCTTTCTGGGGGGGTCCCTATGATGTGGCTGCCAGTGCCTGCGAGGAAGAGTCCCACAGGAGCTCTTCCCCGTGCGGTCCCTGTGCTTGTTCCCACTCCCCGGAAGAGGGCCGCCCATTCAGGACACCCCGGGACTCCTCCACAGGCGGTCCACAGAGACCTTGTGGTCCAGGACACCACACTGTCCAGAGTTCTGGGCTCTTCGGTCCCCACATGGGTCTCTCTCAGGCCCCTGATTCAGGTCCACAAAGCCTAGCTGACCGCCAGGATCCTCTACAGTGGTAAACAATAGATTCCTGGGCTCCATCATATATTTCTAGTAACCCCCTTGCCCCTCCCCCCAGGTAATTTTGAAGATCAACCACATTTGGCGACCCTGATCTGCCCACCAGTAATTGCCCTGGGACAGCACTCTCTCTGCTGTCGTGGGGGAATCAGAGGGAGCCGTGGAGGAGGGGGTCCAGCCTACTTGGAAATGAACCCCATCCAATTACCCACTTCAGCCCCCCCCCCCCCTCCCTGACTGAGGAATTACTGTCTTTTTGCTCTCTCCCACAGGACGCCTCACCATCCTGGGATAATTCTGAAATTGCTTTAAAGAGAAACCTTCTCCGGCTGCCCACAGAAAAAAAAAATCAATGAACTGTCCCCAGAGCTGGGAAGCAAGACCTCCAAGGCTTAGAGTCTAGGCTGCTTTCTTCCCTTTCTTTCCAAAAGCCAGTGGTTTGGACCAGAGAGGAAAATTCAGAGGTACTGGGAAGATACGGTACAAGCTGGAAAGGCACTTTTTTTCTCCCTCCTACCCAATTCATTGCTAAAGAGCGAAGAAACCTTTCCAGCGCCTGCCTTGGTTCACCTCCTCCCTGCTCGGCTTCACTTAGGACACATGATTTTCTTTTGGCTCTGCCGTCTCCGTGGAAGACACACTTTCTCTTTGCTCTTACAGATGCGGAGGTATGTGAGAGGGTGAGAACAAGATGGAGAGAGAGAGAGTGAGAGAGAGACAGAAAGGGACAGTGTGTGTGTGTCTGCTGGCACCCAGTCACTAAGTGCTTTAGCTCTGCACATCGAATGCAGTCAGAGAGGGGAGCTGGATGGACAGGACAGCTTCATATTGTGTGCGTATTTACGTGTGAGCGTGCAGGGCAAGTGCGGCCTCTCTGTGACGTGTGTGCACCTCTGATGGTGTGTGACAATGTGTGAAAGGTGCAAAGAAATGTGTTCTAGAGCCGGGTTTCCATAGAAACACCTGACGTGTAGGGATACTGTGTGCAGCATAACTCCCTGAGTGGCAGCAATCACCGGTACCCAGAAAGTGTAACTTTTGCACCAGGCAAACACACAGGCATGGAATGACGGAGGGAAGGCGGTGGAGGAGGGCGCGGGAGAAATGTGGAAGATGAACTGGCGCTCAGTTGGAAGGCAAAAAGGTGGGAGGAAGGAAGGAAGCAAGGAGGACATAGAGACCAGGTCAGTAATGGCAGCTGGACCCCTGCTGGTCCCCTGCTGGAGGAAGGGGTCTCCCCCCATCTCCCCCCTGGGCTTACCTGCACACACCTGCCTCTCCTCTCAGCTGTGGGCTTATTCCCCAGGCAAGGCTCCCCCTCTTCCTCCCCCACCCTTCGGTGGAGCTGTGGCAGCAGAGAGCCAGCTAGAAGTTCTGATCTCCCAGTGGTGCCTGCCTGCCTGTGTTCGCCTGACTTTGCTTCTACCAGATCCTAGTGGGGTGGGGAGGTTAGGTTTGGGGGAGGGACGGGCAGATTGTAGGGAGGGAGGAAAGGAGGAGAGAGGGGAGGGAGGGAGGAGGAAGGAGGGAGGGAGGGAGGGAGCTTGGGAAAGGAGGAATGACAACAATAAAGTCTTTATTTGGCAGCCAAAACTCCCAAAGACTTCATGCACACACCATGCCCACTAACGGACTCGTTTTTAATAACATTTCCTTCTGTTGCTGCTGCTTCTGGGGGGAGATTGTTTGACCCATGTTTGGAAAACAAGCCAAATTAACAGAGGAAAAGGGCATGAAAAGCAACCTCTGTACAGGCCAGAGCTGCATAGCTGGGTCCAGCCTCAGCCTGTTTCATTCCTCCTAACAATCGCCCTGCCTCTGATGCCCATCGCTTTCCTGGTGTGAAATTCCTGAGTGAGTGAGGGGTGTGGGACGTTTCCTGCCCTTTCTCACCTTGTCTGGGAGAGTTGTGAAGGGAGTGGGGTCTTGCTGTACAGTGAGCTGGCAGGGAGATGGCCTTTGCAGGGATGCTCTGAGGACCAGAGAGGGCAAAGTCTGGCCTGGGGTCACCCAGCAAAGGCAGGCAGAATTAAGATTTGATGTAAGACCTAAAGTCACTGTCCCTTGCTCCTGTCGACAATATCAGTGTCTTCTTTAACCTTCCCCATATATCTCACACTCAGGGGAGATTTGGGGGCTGTGTGGTCCTCACACAAAGCATATGAGGAAATCCAGATGCCCCTGTCCATGTCATCCCAGAAGACCCATTCAAAGCTAGACCATTACCCTCTGACAATCCTTAATTAAAGAGCTGCAACACATTTGGAGTTTAATAGTGGCCCAGCAAAACCTCTTGCTGCCCCAGGGGTGACCACTTCGTAATCTCAGTGTTTACTTTTTCTATCACAGTTGAGAGAGAGCCATGATGCCTAGTGACAAGGAACTCCCTCCACCCACCTCCCATCTGGCGTAGAGGAAGGAACGCTAACATTAGGATCAGCAGCCCTGAGCTCTGCCACTTATGAGCCAGGCTATCTTGGGCAAGTCCCTTGGTCATATGGAGCCTCAGTTTCCTCATCTATGCAATGGGGATAATACTTGCCTCACAGATTTGGGAGGTTTAAATGATAGCACAGATGTGAGGGCACTTGATAAACTGGGAAGACATTCAGGTTTAGGAGCGAGATTATGGTGCACAGTGGTCAGCCTCAGCAATGGAGAAGGGAGATAAAACCTACCCCTTCTTTCCCCACCCCCTTTCTACCCTGAAACTTGTGCCTTCCACACCCTGCTAGGGAGGTCTTTCTGGAAGCCACACAACTCTAGATCCACCTTAACCCTGGACATGCCAGGCCACTTGTACATTTTATTGTTCACCCAGACAGGGAATGTCTCCTCGTGCGGACTGAGCATAGTAGACCCCAGACTTGCTTGTTTCCCTTGCTTGTGGCAAGTGGTAAGTCAAGTTCAAGAAAGATGAGCAAGACACATGAGGCACAGGGAGGATGGGGTGGGGTGGGAGGAGGGGTTAGATAGTATGGGGCAGGGGCAGGGGTGGAGGCAGCTTGCATCCATTTTCATGGGGTGCCATCTAATCCCAGAGTCTTTGCTCAGTGATGGTGATCGACTTCAAGCCCTGACGAGCCGGTGCATCTCCCTCCCTCCCTCCTTTGTCTGCCTTCTCCTAGGCTCTGCAGAGAGAATTGGGATGAAGCATACAGGTGGCCAGGAATATTTGGAGTCTGCTAAAGGGTGGCCTGTGGGTCTAATGTGGCTTGAGGACCTAACGTGTTTTTTGATAGCACAGTAACCAAAAAACCTGTTTATCATGTCAAATTTAAAGCCTATACACATTTACACAGAATAGTATTAGTAACCCGATATCATAATAACACCCAGCTTCAGCAATCACCAACTCATGATCCATCTCTTTCCATCCATGTTCCCCCCTCCCAAAAACCCCATTCGATTTTTTTTAAATTTTTAAAAATTGTTTATTTATTTTTGAGAGAGAGAGAGAGAGAGAGAAAGACAGAGCATGAGTGGGGGAGGAGCAGAGAGAGACAGAGACATAGAACCCAAGGAAGGCTCCAGGCTCTGAGCTGTCAACACAGAGCCCGAAGTAGGACTCAAACCCAAGAGCTTAGATGAAGTTGGGCACTTAACAGACTGAGCACCCAAGTGCCCCCACTCACTAGAATACTTTTAAACAGCCATATTTTTAAAAATTGGATTTGAGGTTTTTAAGGAGAGAAAGCACTTCCCCGTGCCACACAATCACCACCCTCTTAGAGTAGACAGCCTCCATGGCCCCGCTTAATTACTTATCGCCAGCTCTTCAAGACCTTTGAGTCCACAAGCACTGGCCTAGGGGCAGCAACCAAGAAATGAGGTGAGTGGGGACAAATCAGGAATGCTATCAGGGACAAGGTGGCAGTTGTCTCAACCAACCTGCCTTTCTCAGCCCCTTGACAGATGACAAATCCACCTCCAGCATGGGCCACAGCGGGCTGGGTTCTTGAGACCATGCTTTGCCTCTCACCCACTGTGTGACCTTGGAGATGTCTCTCTTCCTCTCTGGCCTCAGTTCATCCTTTGAAAATGTGAGGTTGTACTAAACATTCTTCTCCAGCAAGTGTGAGGAGAGCCTAAGATCTGGGGTCAGGACCCTGGGCTAACATCTCAATGCTGCTACTCTAGCTACTTAGAGAGAAGGTCTTAAACATATCTTTGTCTAAGGCAATACCTCGCGTCTGCCCGGGCCACACCCGGGATAACTCGAGGATCACTGGAAACATCGGCTGGGAGAGCATGTTGAAGTTCTCTGGCTTCATACAGCCAGACCTTGAGACTCCTTCAAAAAGCTGTGGCTCTTCCAAAAAGAGCTTTCTCTCCTAGAGTTCAGGGGACCCCGGCTGGTGTAGCTTCCTCCCGGCATGTCAAGGACAACATGAGATCAATACTGGGGAAAGGAGTGGAAAGTCAGGAGAGGCTGGTTCCTGCTGCTTGCCTCCTCCCAAGATGGGGCTGGGGATAATACGGGGCAGAAAATTCCAGGAGAGAGGCAGGGGTGGGGTGGGGAGGCAGCTCTCTGATGTGGTGGACTACAGCTCCATTTACAGAGAACTTGGGCCCACTCGCTCTTCCCACCCAGGCTGAAACTCTGTCTCGGAGGCTCACTGCTTATTTGACAGCACAGTAACTGCTGCCTCGGTTACAAGCAGAGAATGCTTACAGCCCAAGGAGAAAGGGCATGACTGTGTCTGATCCTTTCCATAGAAATACAGAATGAAGGCAGCTCAGGCTCCCCACCTCCCCACCGCCCTGCCCCAACCGCTGCCAGGAGGCAGCAGTGTAGCCCAGAGGAGCCCTGGCTCAGACCGCCCCCCGTGGTCCTCAGGCGCACAGAGGCTGGTCCTGGGAAGGACCCTCACGCCTCGTCAACCGAGGCTCACGGCATAGGGTGGCTGGAGGTCTGGGCAAGTGTGCAACAGGGAAGCTGTTTGGGTGTCCTGCGGCCGCTTATCCCCCCACTCAGCCTGGGGGGCCGGGGTTGCCTGGGGTAAGTGGGCTCCTGGTGTCTGGAGGCGGCGTCCCGCGCCCCACGGCATAAACCCACAGCACCCACCCAGGGCTTGGCACACACTGGATGCTCAGTAAGAGCCAGTCTCATCACAGTTAAGAGGGTTGAACAAGGAGATTCTCTGTCACTCACTTTTTTTAAAAAAATGTTATTTTTTGAACATGAATGGGTAATACATTCTCTTGATTCGAAATCCAAAAGATACAAAAGGGTGCACAAGGAACGGTCTTCTTGCCTTGTCTGTCTCCCCATCATCCAGTTTCCTCCGAAAGACAATCAGCGTACCCCTTTCTTGGGTCTGGCTGGATTTATTTAATGTTAATTATTAAAAATTAACTTAATTTTATGTTGTCAAAAAGGCAGTAAGTACAAACAACTGTGCATTTTGTTTTTACTTAGTGGTGTGATCTTGACAATTACTCTACGTTGTTGTATCTGGCTCTCTCTCTCTCTCTCTCTCTGGCCCGTATCTACTTGGCCAGTCCTTCCTGAGAGATATTTGGTCTTCCTGCCCCATTTGAAAGGTAGGCAGTGCTGAGCTTGGAGTCTCACAAGCTTGGGTCCCCTTCTGGCCGTGTCTCCTTGCCATGCGACCTGGGTGGCCTGGAGCTACTTGCTTGTCCTCTCTGAGCCTCAGTTTTCTCGGCTATATGTGACAGGTATCTCTTGCAGTACATCGACTCGGTAGTTCAATTATCCTATAATTTAACTTTCTTCTACAATTTGACTTAATTTCTGAATCTGAGCGCTCCCTTCAGTGGCTTGCTGGAAAACTCTCGGTCCTTCTTCATAGCCCTCCCCCTGGGATTGTACAGCAGCTGGGGTGTGTGTGGGGCGCCAGGGCCTGGGTGGGAGGGTGTCCTGGTGGGGGCATGCCCATGGTTCCCAGCGAACATTCCAGCTGGGGTGTGCGTCCTTCATTCCCGAGGCCCCCCAAGCGACAGCCCTCTGCCACTTTCTGAGGCTGCGTACAGAGGACGGAAGCCTGCAGGGCTGCCATTTCCTCCTGGACACGCACTGGCTGCCTGGCTCTCTGCCAGGGCCTCACGCTCCACAGAGCCCTGTATTCTCCCCCGACCTGGCCCCAACCGGGGGCCATTTCTTCTCTGGGGGAGGAAGCTTCCTTGCCCCCCTTACTTCTAGGCAAGATACTGTATCTATGCTCAGAAAACCCCAAGGGCTCAGGCTTATGGAAAACGAAGCCAATGACACTTGTAGGCTGCTTCTGTCTCCTCTGTGCCCCCAGGCGAGAGCACAGAGCTGGTCTCCTTGTTCCAACCAGAGGAAAGGAGTCGCCAAGACAGGAAAGGAAGAAATGGACTGTCCGTCGGCCACGTGGTGAGCACACTGAGACAGGTGGACCCTGAAATCCCTCTTCACTC